ATTATTGATGCTATTTTTATTTTTATTTTGTTCAATTTTTGGTTTATTATTTCCCTTTCGATACGTTTTTTAATTTTTTCTTGATCCGGCAGCCTCCAATTAAAATTAAGGGGTCATAACCCACTGTTTTGTACGGTTTGGGGTCACAGGTAAGGGTTGAGCGGTTTAAGGGTTTCGGGGTTTTTTGGGGTCTATAAGGGTTTCAGGGTTTAGGTTTATTAGGGTTTAGGTCCAAGGTTTATGTAGGGTTCAGAATTTAGCGCGTGGGGTTTAGGAATGCCTGTTTTTTGGTTTGGGGTTTTCACACACTACCATTTTCTAGGTTTTGGGGCTAGAGGCAGTTCCAGCTGGATCGCCATCAACTCTGCTCCCAGCACGCGGCGATCGATGATACGGCACGCCTTGTGGACCGACTGCTGCTCCCTGACTTGGACAAATTCCCGCCACCCTCAGACCAGGAGATCGACCCTAAACCTTAGACTCCTAAACCCCCAAAGCCTTTGAACCCTAAACCCCTAAATAGGAGTTTCCGACTAGAGGTACCGTATTTTGGGGTCCTTATAATAAGGATCCTACTATTTAGGGTACTATATTAGGGTCCCCTATTTTCGGGAACTCCGAAATTCCTAAAGCCCTACAGCGGAAGCCAGAAAGTTGGAACATCATTATCCTTATACCCGTGGGGTACAGAAGAAGGAATTTTAGCGGGAATCGTCCCAAATCCATCTTCCAACTGTCAGGCGCTCACTATACACCCTAAGCTTTTGAACTCCTCAACCCTAAACAACTACATCCTAAAAGCTAAAACCCTAAACCCTACACCCTAAGCCCTAAACCCTAAAATGAAAGCTAAACCCCTAAACCCTAGAGACCTCCTTAAAGGAACCCTTACAGATCCCTTTATCAACGGAACCCTTATAGATCCTTTTAGCAGGACTTCGACCAGGGCCCGACTGTGCAAGGTTGCTGTGGCAGGCGCTTGCAGCCCAACCGGGCACCTTGGCTCCACTACCTTAACCCCACGTAACCTACCTTTTTAAGGACTTATATAAAGAAATCATATTAGGGAACCCTAAAAAGGTAGGTTCCTTAGGGTCCAGGTAAGGACCAATACCATTTTGGAGGTTCCTTATTATACTTATAGTAGAACGGGCTCCAAAACGCTATTCTGGAAATTAAGGCCCCTATAGTAAGTACTTTAAGGGCCAAAGTATATTCCATATGGGTGGTTTTCAAAATTACGGTCCCTTTTTGGGTAACCTAAATAATAGGTGCCGTATTATAATAAGGACCCAAAAAGGGCCATATTTTTGACAACCACCCATGTGCCTAGGTATCTAATATAGGGTCTTAGTAATGACGTAAACTACTTTGGGGGGTTCCTTATTATGGTTACAGCGTAACGCGCCCCAGACCCTACTCTAATTATGAAGGCACTTGTTTTTGGCTCGTCATAATATCAAAGGGGAAAAGGAGGGACCCTTAATGGGGACCCTTACCCTATAATGGGGCTACATAATGGGTATATAATAGCTATATTAAGGGTATATACCTAGGGGTCCTTATTAAGGGTCCCTCCTTTTCCCCTTTGATAACAGGTTTCAGGGATTTCCGGTCTACTGTTTCGGGTTTAGGGTTCTCCAGGGAAAGGGAAATGTCTTAATGTCGATTGAAGGACTACTTTTTTTGCCTTGAAACGCACTAAACCCTAAACTTTAAACCCAAAAAGAGCCTTAAACAGGCACAGAACATGGTGTCCAAGTTTGCACGTTGCAGTCTCGGTGGTCCGCCTAAATGCATGCCTCCACTGCTGGTGTACGGCCCGTGGGGCGCTGGCAAAACACTCATCCTTGCCAGGACCGGGATCTTAGTTCCCAATACCTAACCTTTAAACTTTTTTGGGCTCTTATAGTTTAGTAGGAATCGGAAAGTTTAACCTGAAATTTCTGTGGCTTATTGGGGTAGTAATTAAGGGATAGCCGTAGCCCGAAGCTTATACACCCTACACCTTAAGCCTGAAACCCGAGACCCGAAAACCTTGAAGCCTAAGCTACCCCTAAACCCTAATCCCTAGCAGGGTTGAGGGTTTAGGGGTTTAGGGTTTAGAGTTTTGGGTTCAGCTTGGACAACTACAAACAGTTATTTCCTAGGGCTCCTTGATGGAACTAGACGATAATATCACAAAAAGCCTTGCTCCAATTATCCGGGCTTCTACACAGCATCCGTACAGTAACCCTGACAGAACCCCTTTTGAACTGGACCCTGTTGAAGTTGTGGAGGCCCCTACATCAACATCTTCAGAACTCCAAACCGTAAACCCCAAACCCCTAACCCCTAAACGCTACATCCTAGCCCCTACTGCAAACCCTAAACCTTCGAGCTCAATCCTGGCCAGTACCGCCATTCGACTGATCAGATGCCAAGGTGAACGTTCTGCCCGAGTCCTGATCCTGGGTTCTGGTGTACTTAGGCTTTATAGGGTTTAGTAAGACGTCTAGAGTCTAGGGTGCAGGGCCAATGAGGGCTTAGGGTTTTGTAAGGGGTTTTAGGGTTTAGGTTTAGTCTGAATGACTTTTCAGTGTGTTGCTTGGGGTGTATTGCAGTTTAGCTGTACAAGTGCTACGTAGGACTCCTATTACTCATTAGTCAGGCTCCGACATGTTTTGCGACTTTGCTTTTGGATGTTGCTTCGTCTATAAGTCATGAAGGGACAAAACCTAAACCCTACAGTAGACCCAAGACCCTACACTCCAAACCTCAAATCCTAAACCCTGGACCCTACACCGCAAACCCTCTACCCTAAAACGTACGTATTCCTTAAAAGCTGCCTCCACCCTGTAATAGTGGTATAATAGGAGTATTGTAGGGCCCTACTATAATCCTTATAGTCACTATTACAGGGTGGGGGCAGCTTCTTCCATATTCCCCTTGTTTTCGCAACTGAGGATCTGCACCCATACAAATTCAGCGGCCGACTTGTTCATCAACGCTCACTTCAGTCATAAGGACCCTTAGTCAAAGGGGAAAAGGAGGGACCCTTAATGGAGACCCCTACCCTATAATGGGCTATATAATAGGTATATAGTAGCTATATTAAGGGTATATTGCTAGGGGTCCGTATTAAGGGTCCGTCCTGTTCCCCGTGGACTTAGGGAGGTAAGGAGGAGGGGACCTTTATATCCCTAACCAGGACCTGAGAGGCGTCTCACCAGGTCTATCCAAGGAAGTATAATCCGCTACTGTGAGGGCCTGCATAATTACCGATACCAGTTTTGGGAGTTCCTTATTATGATACTCGTCATAGCATAATGTATCCCTGTATCCCCAAACCCTACAGAATAGTAGGTTATGACCCCTTAACTAGAGGGTCTGACCCTTAAAACGGTAGGTTTTTGGATCCGCAGGTCCACCCCTAAACCCTAAACCCTAGTAATTCGTAAGGCCCCTATAGTACCCCCTCCCCTCAGCCTCCTAAGTTTGCTTATGACCCAGGGACCTGGAAGCCGCCACAGACTTTTGGGTTTAGGGTGTAGGGTTTAGGTTTTAGGGCTTAGGGTTTAGGGGTTTAGGGGTTTAGGGCTTAGGGTTTAGGGGTTTAGGGTTTAGGGTGGAGGTTTAGGATTTAGGTTTAGGTTTAGGGTTTAGGTTTTAGGGTGGTTTAGGTTTAGGTTTAGGGTTTAGGGTGGAGGTTTAGGTAGGTTTAGGTTTAGGTTTAGGGTTTAGGGTTGAGGGTGAAGGTTTAGGGTTTAGGTTTAGGTTTCAGGGTTTAGGGTTTAGGGTGGAGGTTTAGGATTTAGGTTTAGGTTTAGGTTTCAGGGTTTAGGGTTGAGGGTGAAGGTTTAGGGTTTAGGTTTAGGTTTCAGGGTTTAGGGTTTAGGGTGGAGGTTTAGGATTTAGGTTTAGGTTTAGGTTTCAGGGTTTAGGGTTGAGGGTGAAGGTTTAGGGTTTAGGTTTAGGTTTCAGGGTTTAGGGTTTAGGGTGGAGGTTTAGGATTTAGGTTTAGGTTTAGGTTTCAGGGTTTAGGGTTGAGGGTGAAGGTTTAGGGTTTAGGTTTAGGTTTCAGGGTTTAGGGGTG